ATTTTCGAAAGATTGGAAGGGAAAAGAATCGAAAGATACGTTTTAAAACTTTCTAATAGCATATGTGTCAGTGATACGGGATAATATTAACGATACCAGCAACTTGGATATCAAACGTAATCGCTCTCCTACGTGCTCCTTGTTCCGGAGTGCGTGCTTCTTCGACAGAAATGATTTCCGCAAGATGCGGTAGTCCGCGTGTCGTTAAGAATCGTTTGACTTAATCGCGGCAATATCGATGCCGATATTCTCCCGGCTGGATCGGAGTTCTAGCTGATTGGTGTGCGACAACACTTGGTGCCACCAAGCCTTTCTCTCCGTCGTTATTTCAATAATGTTCACGTACGGCGCATTATCCGCGCGCTCGCAATTGACATCCTTCAAGCTGTGCCTGTCCGTTCGGCGTCGCCCGCGTGTCCGCATCCTTTACCGTTGCTTGTCATTCTCAGAGAGAGAGAGAGAGAGAGGAATCGCGGGATATCGTGAGTAGTTCTCGGTACGATTTTTCACCTGTCAATACGAACGCGAGAGTCTATCTTAAAACGAGTAAAACGTAAGTAAGACGACAGCGCTTGCCGATATTTTCTACGATTTTTCACGACGCGTAACATCGTCCGCTTGTATCCTCCGATTTTTCCATTTTGCCGCGATGTTCCGGAGGTGAAGGCGTGAGAACCGGGTCTTCGGGATACATGGCTGATACATTAGAATATACTCTTGACCTCCTCAGCATAATATATGCCATGAGGAAGACGGTCGTTTTTCCCCGTAGAGAGTCTCGTTTAGAAAGATTAGATATACATATCCGACCGGATTGGTAATAGATTCACATTAAAATTATTATAATTTAATTATTAATTGATTAATTAATTAATTTAAATTTTTATATATTACTTTTGCCTGCTTTATCTTTCGCATCACGAGCAACTTAAATCGTGTTACAAAACAAGTGCACGCATTCTAGTGTCCGTTCGGTATGAAATGATTCGGCGCATATAATGGTAATACGGCAGGTCTCTCGATAGAATTCTCTGCGTAATGCTAATTAAGCCCGGAATCTAGAGGATACAATTATGTGATTCTTAAATGGAAACCTGGCGTGTGTGGTAATTTCGCATCTTGAGTTTCTTGATATATCCTATTACGCGCGCGTTGAGCTATGTTGGTCGCGCGAAGCGAGAGTCACGCAACTTTTTTTCCTCCCAGAATCATCGAAACGTGAATCGTGGTATAACTTGAAGTAAATTTTTATCTTTTCACTAGATATTTTTGAACCTGTCTTTTGTGCCAAGACGATGATTCGCTCTCGTTTCTCAGCAATAATTATTCCCAGAGACTTATAATAATATTCATATCTTTTTAGTCACATTATAATATAAAAAAAAAAAATCTCAGACATTAATGACAAGCCTGCAACAACGTCAAACGAGAATGAGGACCGATCGAAACTTTCTATTTACGTTCTCATCGTCGATGTAAAAATTTATTATACCCTGAGACTTGCAGTAAGTCGCGATGTAGTCATTGATAACGCTCGTTGAGATCTCAATGGCCATCTCGAGCAAGATCAACGGCGGCACGGACGAAGATTTGTCTTTATTTGGACTTCCATTAGGCCGAGACGTTGTTTAATCGTTCCCGTTACACGTTTTACAAGAATGGTCCGCCCGAGAAGTACTTTCTAGACACACTTGAGTCCGGGGTACGCGGTTGGTCTTCGCCGTCGAGAAGATCGACGATACATCAAAGGATCGTACAATGTCTACGTAAAGGATGAATTTGCTCATCGTATATGAAAGTTTGTTTTCTTAACAACCCCCTACGGCCTAGCGGATATTCTTCGAAGTGGTATATCGTACACCGAAAAAAAAAAAAAAAACGCAAAAAGTCTCAAGGAGAAAGACGGCGGAGAGATTTTGTTTCGACGATATTTTGCGCTTCGACAAATTGTCGGACAAGTTGTCTAGCAGGGAATTAATGACGCGGCTATTTCAGAAGGAGCAAGTTAATAAAACGACGTGGGGTTATATAAGGTACTTAAAAAAAAAAATGCAAGACATTATATCCGATATAGAGAATTCTAAATATAGATGAACATTCCAGATTTGTAAAGTGACATTAGAATGGAATGTGATTGGTACGTATTATCTTCCAGTATTGAACGTAGGTGGTTCGGTTTAACTGAACGTAATAATTTTACTTGTGGCTTACGAAGCGCGTAATTGGGCTATAATATCCACCGTTTCACGTAGAGATTTGTATATTTTGTAAATGTGTTAATCTCGCGCGGTGAATTACCTCCGTCTCCACGAGCGATCGTATCGCGATCGATCACGGGAAGAATTGTTAACGCATTCCTCCTATTTCCCGATGAGGAGGCATCTGATTATTATCATTATAATTATAATAGACGAGATCGAAGAATCCAGGTCGCTTTCGTGACTCGTATGTTATGAGGAATCGAAGAGAAACCTTCCGCTTTCCAGCGGCGCGGAAAAGCGCGGAGAGGAAAATTAATGGCGAGAGCGTTAATTACTTGTCATCGTGTCCCATGCGCGATTCGATTGACGGCTGCGGCTGCAGATGCTCAGGTTCAGGGATGCACCGGCGTGCATCGGCGCGGCGCGGGCGCGGGCGCAGCTACAATCGGCGAGACATTAATGAGAACCGTCGTGCGAGCGCTCCGGCGACGAGTCGCGCGCGGCGAATGAATCATGCGGCAGGAAGTCCTTTTTCCGCGATGCGGCACGGTCGAACACCTTCCGCTCGGCGAACTGGTACAAGGTGAAATCGAGATTCGATCCGGCAGGGTGAGAGAAGGCTTATAATAGCTCGCGAAACATTCGCGCGAGATAGATCCTTTCTTCCTTCCCCTTCTCTATTTCTCTCGAATTCCGTCTCGTTTTGGAATAATTTCTTTTGCATCGAAATCGGTTCTTTGTCCGGATAAGCAGAATAAACTATTTGCCAAGTACGCGATGAGAAAATTGCCCCATTGTATCGGTGAGAATGAGATACTCCGAGATATACCGGATAAAAATACGCTAGACAGTCGCGCTGAAAGAGCGGATGGCACGATAGACAACGCGAACACGGGAAAGATTAGATCCTATTAAATCTTATTCTTTTCTCTCTTCATCTCTCTCCCCCTCCCTCTCCCTCTCTTTATCCGCGCGAATCCTTTTTTCTCGATATACACCCGCGGGATATCATCAGTGCGACGCGATCGCGTGAGAGAGGTTGCTATTTCACAGGGAATTATTCAATGTCGTCTATTATACGTAGACAGAAAGTGTGTACCACTAACTATCCAATTATCTTACGATTAAAAAATAATGCGATAGTTGCGGTACATCAGCGTATCCCGTACGCTCGTTACGCATCACAAAGTATCTTATCAAATATCTATTCGTGTCAGGAAGTAAACTTTAGCTATTATTAACTGTAATATATATGATTTTCCAATAAAAAACAGCATTCATCCTCATTGCAAAATAAGTCAGTGGAACATAAAATAATAATAATAATCCATTAACTAAATTACGCGATATAATAAAATTTCTTGTATACATATCTGATTAAATTTGATTTTATCATAAAAAGGGAAATATTCTTTTATATATTTTTTATTAGTTTTCTAAAGAAAATTTTAATAAATTATATAATTTGAAAAAAATTAGTTTATGCTTGGTTTTATATTTTACATAGTTTTAACTTAAAAAAAAAAAAAAAAAAAAAAAAAAAACTGTACAGTTTTTCTTTCTTATACCGGATATGCTGCGGTACATTTGATGACCGCTCGAGGTCTTGCGGCAATTAAGGTCAGATCGAATTCGCGTGTATATGAACGGTCGAATCGATGAAGCAATCTTCTGCCTCTAAGCTCGGTTCCAGAGAAAGAGCCGCGATAATGCAGGGCGCGATGACGACCATCCCTTTTCTTATTACTCGACGCTTCGTCTCTCATCTCTCATGAGCTATAGTGCCACGTGGATTTTCGCGAATAAGGGCGTTCCACCCTTCTGATGGGCGGCTAAATCAATTAGATGTCCAAGATGGGAGGCGTTGATACAATATATAGGGATACGTGATGTTGCCTTCTGGCTTTTAGAAGATGAAGAGTTGCAGGTTTTTTCACCTATCCTTGCCAACAATCCTTGTATATTTCTAAGCGCTAGGGTTTTTAGAGAAATATAAAATATTCCTTTTTCATGTGTGAATATTAAACCAAGAAAATCGATTTTCTGGACTAGATGAAATTTTTAATACCAATATAAATTTACATAATTTACGTTTGAACAAACTAAGTCAACCAAATAAAAATTTTTAATAAGTCAAGAATCTCTCTTTCTCTCTTTCTCTCTCTCTTTAATCTTAGATCCTGCGAGCGAGGTTTCCCGCAACGCACGCTCAATAAAGGAGCTGTATCCGTCACGGACTTATCGTGTGTGTGTGTGTGAAAGAGAGAAAGATAGTTTTGTGCAGTCTCTCACGTCGTCTGCAACTTTCGTGAACTCGTATAATAGTGCGATGAACTCGCCTCCGCTTTATCTCTCTCCATGGTACGACGATAAGAATAATTGGATGTAAGATGGCAAAGCGCGTTAGGAGAGATGGAGGTCTCCGTTGCGTAAAATTGCAGGTCATTCGCAGTCCTCTGTTATCGAACGTATCTACAGTTTTCGGTTACATAACATAAGATCGTCTGGGCGTCTTTATACGTAATTTTATGGAACAAATCCTTTTGCTAGTATCGCTCGCGTTTAATTTTTAATATTTTTTTATAAGCAATTAATTTCATTACTTATTTCTTGCCTTCTTCGATTTGTTATATAAAATTTATTAGTTTGAAACAGAATTAATTGGAGATATATATAATTTATTTAATATATTATTTAATTTTTAACATATATTATTATTTTAATTTGTATCTCTTTAATAAAATTTATATATAATTTCTAAGCAAAAATTGTTCAATGTACTTTTTTTTCATGTTACAGATTTTACAATGCCACCGCCGTATCATCGACGTCATTAGTGGTGGGCCCTCGTAATGGCCTCGATCTTAGGAGATGGAACGGGTCCCGGAGGGCCCGGGACCTCCCGATGCCTCTTGCTTTTGCAAAGGTCCCTGGCGATTCAATTGACCAGAGGTCCACCTCCTCATATCGCAAACGCCAGTCAACGGGAAAGTCCAAAGGAACATCCAGCCGACGAGATGTGGATGTACGACAAAGGCTACAATCTGTTTCAAGTGAGTCATGTTATCTTTGTTTTATTTATATCTTTGTTTATACTGTCGATATTTTTCTATCGCGTCGCCATGCGAGTTTGAGCTTTTTTTTAATTTTCGTCAATAAACGGTACGCGTGTTTGACATTTCCGCGGTGAGCTTCTTTTTGCTCCGGAGATCATTGGCGCCGGAAAAGTTTTGCGGAAACGGAACGTCGGAACGGAAAAAGAAAACGCGACGTGTGTCGGCGTCGAGACTTCGCGTCTTTCTTCGTGTCTTTTGTTTTGTTCCTTCCTCCTGTGTCGACGCGCGGGTCCTTTACGGTAAAGCGGACGTTGATTGCCCGCACCGTTACACCACAATGAGACAATGTGAATTACGAGCAATTTCGCAAAAGTAAGCATAATCGAGGAGCGGCAGGTTAAACGGCGGAAGCTCGTTCTCGCGGCTGGCGTTGCGCCGACGTTGTCCGCGACTCTCTTCGGCAATAAATTTTTCGTTTTACATCCAGAATTTTTTCCGCGGATAAAACGAACGACGGCAAAACGAGAGATGTGCCGCCGCACAACGACGGCGGCGCCGTGCGCGTCGTAATCCGGCTCGTATAGAATTTATCGCCACCAATGCGTAACGTGTAACCGCTGAATATTCAACAGCGGTCTATTGTCTGGCTTGGAAAATTGTATTAATCCTTCGGCCGATATATAGCCTGCATTTACGAGATTGAAGCATTTCGATATAGGCAGTATTATTATGAGCTATGCATCGTTATGAGGTAAAAATAAAAATATTAATAATAATAAATAAATAAATAATATAATCATACTATATTTGTAATAAGTGATAAAGATAAAACCGCATAAAAGGTAACTCCGATTTTATTGCTACTTAAATATGTTGTAGAGGAGATTCTTTTGAGTAATTCCCCGCAAGACATTTGTGGGGGACGGCATTAGTTTAGGAGATATAACAAATTAAAGTTTCATAGTTTTAATGATTTTTCTATTATAAAATAAGAGGATAGGTATACAAATTTATTATTAACTTATTCCTACCTTCAACAAGACTTAGAAAAATTCATGTAGTCGCATGTTGAAAGCTGTTAACGAACTGCGAGAAATAGGTGAAACACATTATTGACAAAATATCCACGACTGTGTACCTATTCCGTAAATGTAAACAAACACTTTTTCGTCTGCTCTCTACAACAAATACAACGTACACAAACTTTACTTTTCCTAATATTATTTTATAATACCTGAGAAAAAGCATTAAAACGGTCAATTTGTTATATCTCCTAAAGTCCTAAATCAATGCCGTCCCCCACTTATTTCTTGCGGGGAATTACTTAGAAAAACCTCCGCTATAACATATTTAAATGGCGATTAAATCGGAGGTGTCTTACCTTTTATACAATTTTACCATGATAAAATATAATATTTTTTATAAATTAAATTGATGAATTCTAATGTAAAAAAATATATTGTTTTTTTTTTAAATCAAATAATAAATTATAAATACGCGTTTAGATAAATTATTTTCGAAATATTAATTTTTTCATGCCTTTGTATACGATCACGCGAGAAATAGACAAAGATTATTGGTGAAGAAATAAAAGTGGAACGTGACTGTTCGCAATAACGAAGTGCTCTCACTTTTTAACGAGTACGTACTCGACGAAGAAGTACCCTTGCGGAAAAGTCAACGAGCGTGCTTCTCGCTTCCAAAGTTAATAATAAAGAACCTCGATGACGGTGATAAAACGGGGGTGCTGAATCGTTGAATATGCAAGAATAGCATTCTTTTGGATTCTTGAGCGATGACTTACTCTCGAGGAAAGATCATTCATGCCAATATTCTTGGCTCAAACCTTCAAATATCTTACTGACAGCAAATTTAAAAGTCTAAAAGAATTTTTAAATTAAAAAGAATTAAGTGTGCGTTTCGATACTTTTGTTAGAGATAAATATGTAAGAAGAATAAACTGATAAATGATGTAATGTACGAGGAAGAATCGAGGAAGACACTGTGTATATGTATAAAAGCAGGAAATCGAACGTTCGTATGAGAGGAGATATAATCTCTCGAGGTCGCAGAGTGAATTAGATAGACATTCTATAATTGTTAAGTCAATTAGATGTTAGTGCAGAAATCGTACCATGTATGTTCCATTGCTATTGTGGTTCCGCATGATTTCGCGTCATGTACTGACCGCTTTATCGATGTCGGTGGATAATAATCGATCAACGAAGATACGATCGCTTTTCAACGGAGCGATCGTCGTAAAAGCATCCCCGTGTGCAGTGCGCTGATCGCATCGATATCGCGGTACACGTTGTTTAGAATGTTGTATCCGAGCTTTATATTCGATCGATGCATCTTATCAGAGAGACACATCAAATGAAATTCTGCATCAGCAAAATTCTTATCAACAAAAATGACCAATAAGCTAACAATTGACAAAACAAACCGGCAGAGATTATAAATTTTTGCACCGTGTGAATTAATAAGATTGTGATAGTGATACGAATCGAGATATTATTTTCGTCTTTTCTTGTACGGTAGAGAAGCGACAATGACGAAGGAGCGACAGTACGAAGGATCTATTACCGTGTAGCAAATCTCAGGTTACTAAATAATAGGGCATTGTGTTCGACGCGGCTTTTTGATCCGCAAAGTTTATGTTTGCAAGATTTATCGGGGCCTCTCAGACGGTGCACGCGGTCTGCATTCGAGAAAAGGCACTTTACGCTTCCTCTCGCGGATGAGTGTATTTGCCGGTCGTCGCCGCGCTCGTTGTGACGTTTTTAAATCACTGTTATTACGATACACCGATCGCGCATTGCCCCGGGGATGGTCGACGCAGCCAACGATCTGGCGGACACTTTCCATCCGCGTGGCGATTTCCGTCACGAGCACGCCAAGTCACAAAAAACACCACGTCTAGCTACTCTCGACTGCGGCTACAACCGCCGTCTGTGCGCATTAGTCTCTTCGCTCTTTTATATTACATGTTCGCGGATCGATTTTATTATAAAAATATCAGTTATCTCGTGAGGATGTAACAGTTCTCGTGTATGATAAAACTGAAGTATCTAAACTGATGTGATTTGAATATATTACGATAATTCGTCTTAATCTTTAAACGGAGAATAATTTTTAAAAAATCTGAGTAATTACAGAGTTGTATCATGAATCGTTCGCGTTTCAGATAAATCGATTTAAACTTTAAAAGAAAAATCATATACGGGCGGGACTTGGCTCGATTATACGATCGAATCGCGAATATCGTCGAAGCGTAATAGCCGGTCGACGGGGACCGGGCAACGGCACCCAGAACGTAACTAGTGCACGGCATCACGAAAAGAACAATAAAGTCAAATGTATATCTTTCAAACCGGGAGCTCAATGTTAGAGAGTTCGGCCAAGATTCTGCCTCTTTCTCTTTCTCGGGTACTTCCGTTCATCCAAATTTTCGCCGATTGTCTCTCTTTCTCCCTCATGTAGAAAACAGAATCGGTCGTCGTTGTTCTCATCGTTGTCGACTTCGTAAATCAGCGCCATGCGGCGTATATCGCGAGCCAGTCCGACTTTTATCTCCCGTGCGAGAACTCGTTTATCCCCGGGATGCCCATTCGTCTCGAAGCGATTCGCGCGTGATTGTCTATTTGTTTGCCGATTTAATTGCAAAAAAATGGGCGAGAAAGAGGGACGCCTCCTGTATCTATCCTCCTTCTTGTCGCGCGCTCCTCGTCTGCGAGTCTCAGATTAACGATGACATAGAATGCCGGAGCTTATTCTCCGCTTTACGATATGTAGATACCGGCGGTATTACAGGCGTCAGTTAAAGATATACAATGTCGCAGTGCTATTTATATCTAACATCTAAAGATCCTTTCGCAAATGTTGCCGACTCTGAATAATTTATTTTCTTACAAATTCTTATTTTGCATCAGCAGAGGGTTTCTTTGAGATATAATGGAAGTTAGTCCTGCGGAAATATAATATTTATTTATCTTGATGAAAAAAAAAATTACGATTATTATATATTATTATCATAACAAAGAATAGAAATTTTAATAATTTTATTTTTTAATCAATTTTTCTTTTCTATGACGAGAGATATAACTTAGTTTAGGAGATTATGTTTTTTGGCTCGGTTTGTCAAAACAATTTTATATTTTTCTTCTGCAAAATATCTCACTATATTGACACGTAAACCAGAATGAGGGGCGACGCCTATGTGTCGATGTCTGGATATGTAACTACATCCAGTTAGAAAGAGAGATCCCCGCGTCTCCTGCCCAACGTACTATTCGTGCGAGAACGCACTCGCGATATTAGCATATAAATTATATTATCGTGATTTATGCTTGCAGTCTGCGTATCCACACAGGGCTATAGGGGGTTGCTGATTAAAATTCGAGACGACGCGAGCGAACGCCTTGATGCCTGTCGTCCAATAATGGCTGATAAATAGATCAATTCCGAAACAATTTTTAAAAGAACTAAACGTCTTGTATAAAAATTTTCTTTGAAAACACGGCGTCTCGTAAAAGAAATATGGCATTTATCTTAATTTTACTCCCGTTCCTACAAACCAATTAAAATTACTTTATGATATGAATAGAATATTATATGGATAAAATATATATTTTGATAACTTGGACTATAAATAAATACTAACGGGTTATGTGAAATATTCTCGATGCTGGTATAATAAAGATTTTGATAGATCGATAAAGGGGAGGTCAACGCGGCGCAATAATATCGCGGAGCGAATGACGCTGGCAATAAGTTTCTGTTATATTTCGTTCGACTCCGTTAACCGCTCACGTTCGTGCGCGCGGCGTCTCAAGTTAGGGCTTTAAAAGGATAAGCGTATACGCGCGGCGCGAAAGCGCACGGCGGAGTATATTGCATAATAATTAACGGGCAGCCAACGACCGTACAACACCCTATAGACCGTATTGCCGCAAGTTCATTGCCGGCACGGAAATCGCAATACGTACATTACGTGCGCCGAGCACCGCGTCGCCGATTAGCAATCGAGGTCCGTTCCGCACCTTCTACATCTTGCCGTAATTTATTTCCTTCCTCCCTCTCCCACCCTCCCTTTCAAAAAGTGCGAATGTCATATTCTATTTTAAATCGCGAAAAAGTGTAAAATAGCGCAACGGAAAAGAATGATCGCTGTCGCAAAGCATTTTCCAATTTTTTTTTTTTTTTTTCGAATATTATCTCAATGTGTAGTTGAAGAAATCACAATTCCTATCAATCTGATTTCGAATCCCATGCCATCTTTTCTTTATCGCGATTATACGAGTTTCTCAAATATTCACCCTCGGCGATATCCAACAGTTGTTCTACTGTTCCCCTCGAGTAATCGATATAGCTTATGATCTTTTGGGCAGTTTTAGGGGGAATATCATATATACAAGATTGAGATTAAATATACAAGAAAATCGTAGGGATGGCTCTGTGAATATATTTAATACGCGATTATGAGGAAACTTACGGTAACTCCCTGAACTTTCATTACAATCTCTTTATATTTTTTTACAACTACTTTATGTAACTTAAAAAAAAGACAAGTCACTTGCGCAACGGTTATTATTTCCGTAGATTGAATGAGATTTCATTATATTTGCGGGGGACAGAAAGAATGTTATTGCGCAAGACATAACGAATATTGCAATACGGTAACGCCAATTTGCGTTTAGCGATCAAAGCCCTCTTTTTCGCACTGTTAGCTGGCGTGCCGCTAGGTTGGATACAGGAGACATGGTAGCTGAGTTCAGCGTTAATTATAGTTAACTCAGAACTGTCGCACTCTCACGGTTAGATCCTCCCGTGGACAATAAGAGCGTCTACTTTATCAGCATATCCTGTTGCCCACCCCGGCACATTCCGCGACGCAACGCGATATTTTTAGATATCAGCACGACTTTCTTGTTGACGTTTCAGGTTTATATCAACAAGAAATATAATGAAAGAAAAAAATGAAATAAAATAAAATAAAAAATAAAATTTTTGTCTTGATATTTTTTTTTAAATGGTACAAATAATAAATTGATAGATCTAAAAAGAGTTTTCGATACAATTAGAGCGTGAGTCAACGATTCAGCATGTTTTTACAGAGTTTAGCTGATTACGAAAGAGGTGGACACAATTTTTTTTTTAAATAGCTAAAGTGGCGCTTTTCTCCGTTCATCGTGTTCAGCCGAGCGGAAAAAACAAAGCGTAAAGAGTAATTCGATTGTGTGGAAGGTGTCTCGAAGAGAAAGAGATCGGTAGGAGGTCTCGTGATCTCGTGAAATCGATCGTGTCCGCTTGGCTGATTCGACACCGAGAATCAGCTCCCACGTGGAGGCTAACGCGCGCGCCCGCTAACTCTCGAGAAGAAGCGCGCGGTTTGACGTAACCGAAAAAGTTTCACCCGCTTGAAAATCGCATCTCTTGCCAACGATTTAATAAATCGGCCGCAGCGCGCGCGCTGCACCTTTATTATAATTTCTTTCTCGCCGCGAGCGTTGAAGCGTCGAAAATCTGCGTTCGTGACGTAATCGGCACGGTTACGAAAGTCGATCTGTCGTTATTCGCGCGAGAGATTATAATGTATATCTCGGGAATAAAAGCATTCAATTCGTAATCGCATCGAAGTGCCTTTCTCGTGACATTAAATGACATCATTACGAGTGTTTCAGTAAATGGGAATCGTCTTGGGACGAAAATATTTTATGACTAAATTTGAAAAAATCCGTGCGCTCATTACATAATGCCGAGCGATGTCTCAGATTGGTGAAATATTATCGTGAAAGCTTCGTGAAATTATTTCATGGAAGGTCGATATATAGAGAATGGACAGGAGAGTGAGATCCGCGTAACGAATATATGTTTACGACGAAATACGGAACACGCGCAGCCTTGGCAAGGGTGGATGTTTGCGCTGTGCTCCGTTGCACAGGCACAAAATGAGGCCTGGTCATTTTCGCGGCAGATCAGATCGATCGCGAACATGTAATTTACGACGGAGGTTCCATCATTTGGCAGTAACTCCGTCGTCGACACGGTCCGCTATACGGCGACTTCCAATTGGTGAAAGTCCGGAGATCCTACGCTCTTATTCTACCGTTAGATGCAAAATTGCCTTATGCACACGCAGGATGCATTGTGTGTTTTTTTCATAAAATTAAATTAAGCTCGATATTTCAATCCTATTTCGTTTCTCTTCGTCCGTTTCTTCGTTCGAACGAAAATGCCATCGGGAAACGACTCGAATCGACGCCACTGTGAGATCTTAATCATCGCGTCCGTGCATGCCTCCGCATTATCCTACATTGTTCCACCTACGTTAACCGAATAATTTAATCGGCGAGCTAGCAAATTATACGATTTAGTCAGATTTTTATTAATGAGATATATTGAAAATATATAAGTATATTGAAAATAAAATTGCGAAAAGCCGATCGTCCGAACAAGGGCTGTTATAAATCACACCCTGATCCGTGTCGATCGATTCCAGTACTCCGCACTAATTTCATGGTTTAGCCAGGACAAAGAAAAGAAAGAAGACAGGGTCAGAGAAAAGTTCTATAGGGCGGTACGTTTATGAGGATTGTCCGGGGCTCTCGACCCTATCACGGCTTATTCTGTGACGCGAATCTATGCGGGGGTTCTAGGAAGCATCTGTAGAGGGTAGAACTACGTTTCGCTCAGAATTACGACGAGGGTGAAACGCCATAAGGCTCCACGGAGAGATAAACACTTAGCGACCGCGCTATATTTTAGGGGGCAATTTATGGACTTTTATGTGGTACGACGTGTAGCGGCTTTTTTTATTGGTAACACAAAATACGAGGAAAATACGATTATTACATAATCGTATAAACGTGGAACGCGAAGAATATTTTTCTGCCATAATTCCTATTAATTTATGAACTCGGAAATATTTGAAATAATTATAGATAATATAAAAAAGCAGAGAGATTTTTTCAAAACGATAATCGGCTTTCAAAAATTTGAAAAAAAGAAAAATAAAAAGAAGATAATTTCTCGTTATACATTTTCAGCAAATCTTGTTAATTGAAGTTGAACGTTATTTTTGTACATGTTGCAGAGCTTCTTGGAAGCAAATTCCAAATGCTGGTGGAACGCGGCTCTGGTGGATGCGACACGGCAGCTCAGGTACAAGGGCCACGTGTCACCGGGTGTGCTGATGGTTAGCGGACCGCCCTGCGCCCTCGAGGTTTTGAGGGCGGCATGGGCGCGAAACGTTCTACGACCACCCGCGGACCATTCCATCACCTGCCTCGGTACGTATACTATTCATTTTATTGACTACATACATTGCCCGAGGGTCGATTTAACCCGACGTCTATGTCACCAGGATTAAATTCGTTTCATTCAAATTGAGATAACCAAAAAGTTTAATTATAGATAAAGCAATCTGTGAAAGCGAAAGTGAAAGCGCCAATATTTTACAAGAACGAGTACTTACGAGAGAGGATATAATACTGTGTGACTTCGGTTCCTGGTGCATTTGAATTACAATATCTTAATGCGACACTTTATGCGCGAAAATGACGTACGAGCTTCACTTCGTGCATCTCTTTCTTTTCTTTGTCTTTATCAAACACGCGGCAAAACGTCATCGTGAATGCATATCTAAAAATAAACTCGAATATCTAAATAAGCAAAAATAAATAAATAAAGCATATATAAATTATCAAATGTCAAAGAAGATGATCTAAGGATTAGTGTGCTAGACACTGATATAAACCGACTCTTTGCAAACAGAACGATCGAGGATAGTAGAAAGTGCCCGATCTCTACGCGTTATTCTCCTTATCGGTTTATCGCTCGTAATCCGCGCCTGTCGTCGGTGTACATTCTACAGAAATAGCTTCACATATCTTATCAGGTAGCCCATGCACCCGTATGCACCCTTATTTCCCCGTCACGCTGTTTTTACGTCCCTTTGGTCGGTGTCCCCGGTCTCTTTTTCCACCATCGCCGTTTCTTTCCAATCTTATTGCTCCCTTTTATGCCCCGCGCACTCGTATCTATGCACGCCTACGCTCAACTATCTCGCATACCGGGCTTATGCTAATGTACGCGCGTATCTGCGCAACGGCGTAGGAGCTTTGAGATGTTATTACGTTTCGCGCGATGCGAATACGCTCTCGCAAAAACGAAATTTATTCGCGCGATAAAGAATGCGTTACGTGACTTTATCCGCGTGAGAAAGCTGCCGGCGTGAATATCGAAAAATTACGTCACGAATTGAAGCACGTTTTATAGGCTCCTTCATAAAATTTATCATTTTCATCCGCTTCATATTTAGCATATGAACAGTTGAACAATGTACTTAAACCTATTAATATATTAATGTATAGATACAATGGCGCGTATTTTGTACAAATATTACGCGCACCGATGGTATAAAATTTTGTGCTAAATCAGAGAGATTAAATCGGCGCCGGAAATATATTAATTCACAATGTAATTGAATAATGATGGTTGCTGATGAACCACGTCGACATCCGATTAATTTTGCAGTATATCACGAGAGAGACACGAGGAAAAAAGTGTTTTTATTAAACATTTATATAAAACGCATAGTTTTCGGGCTACGAGCTTACCGACTCAAGCGTGAATGCCTCCGTGTAAAACGAGATTGGTTAACATTCCGCTATTTGTTCGGGCGGGGCATCATAATACGCGCGTCTTTATGCGCCTTTATGTATGCACGTGCAACAACGCGAGTTTCGCACTGCCATAATTGGTCTGCCGTCTACTTCGCGGCGAGATAGCCGGTCCTCCGGTCGGACCGGCTCTTATCCGACTACCCCTTCATTCCCCCACGTTCCATCCCTCTTCCAAGCCGCGACAACGACAAACGCGGCTCCGTAAATATTATAGCGGTTGCGCGTAATTTTTCAGTTAGCAATGTCGTTGATTTTTGTGCGAACGCGCATTCTTACAATTAGCGTGACGTTCGATGCGTATTTAGGTTCATTAGCAAGAAAATCACGTGCTCGAGCAGTCATCCTTTTAATTTGCACGGCGTTTCGTAAGATTGTGTGGGTCCATAAAATTAAGAGGAGCGAGTATACTCGGTTGAGTTGATAAAACGAAACATTTCGCATTTTAAGCTTTACACTCAAAAAAGTGGTTTTGCAACTACAGCAAAAATTTTCTGGGTGCGCAAAATTAACTGAGGTACATAAATGATTAGCAAATACTGTGATATCGCATATGTTTCGCATTTAATCAATCTAAGTGACAGAGACAGAATTTATATCTGAACTGTTTGTGAAAATTAGAAAGAATGTTTTTCTGTGGCGCCTATCCATGTAAGGCCAATCATACTTGTTATAAAGTTTGACTGTGGTACACAGAAAAAATTAGCGACAAGAAACAAATGAATATATAATCCCCACATCTAACATATTTGTATAACGCGCCCAATCTATCTAGCTCTTTTAAACAATTTCTCTCAATTTTTCGATGCTGCAGTTATAATTGGCAGTTATATTTCTCACAAAGATCGTTCCAGCTGTAGTATCGAAACTCATATTTATCCAATGCAGTGATTAACATTTGGCAATGGGACCTAAATTTTCTAGAAGATATTATTAGAATATTGCTGCTATAAATTCTATATGTAACAGACAATATTCTAACAGATACAAAAAATAGCGATAAATTTTTGTTGTGACACCTAGAAATCTACCTATATCAGCAAGACATTTTTTTGAGTGAAAAAATGAAAGGCAGAAAGCGATGATATTTATATTATAAAACGTTATCGAAACACCTGCATATTTAAAAATCGATGTTTGCAGAATAATCAGGTGTAATTAAACCGTCTAACAATTTTCGCCGTAGGAGTTTCTATCGCGCGTTTGATACGCAACGTCGACATTGGCACGCGACGTGCCGAAAAGCCTCAGGAAACTTTGAAAGACGTAGAACCGTCAAACTCCGTTACGACGTTAAAGTTTATAGCGACAATGAAGTGTTTCGTAGGAAATTGCGCGCACTTCAGCCAATATGGCAAGGCAAGTTTACCACTTCAGAAATTACTGAGATGCAAGTGTTTGCATGACGATCTTCTTACGAAATAGAGTAGATATCTTTTGCCATGATAGATCGGAGAATCAGATGCAGTATAAATAAATTTCAAAAATAAATTTTAACTTATTCAAAAGAAAAAACAGTTTTAATAAAAATTCTGAAATTTTTAATAATAGTTTTAAAAATAACTATTGCTTTTTAATGTTTTTATCAATTCACAATAATACGTTTAAAAGAAATAATAAATATTTTTACTTTTTTTAAACTCATCATCCTCTCTTCTTCGATTAAACTTTTAAATACAGCGAAATCTCGCGCGATTTAATTCTGCATAGCAACTAAGTCGCACGAAATGAAGTAAATGTTTAACCTTTCCATCACGCAAAGAACCAATATTGACGGACGATAAGTGCTAAAAAATCTCATATGAAAATATGTATAATCTACCAATAGAGAGGCGGATAAAGGGGAAAAAACTTGCACATTGCTTCCTCATCATTTTATCTTACAAAGCTTAAGCTGCTTTAAGCATGCGGATTCTTC